TTACGATGTTTTTTGTTTTTTTTTTCGAAACTTTTCTAAATTTTTTTTCTCCAAAACTAAAACGAAATGGGACAAAAAAATTACAGGAATCGAAGGGTAAAAGACCGTTGCTTAACATACTAAAAAATAATCGTCTTTAAACCAAAACAAAATGGCCTCCGGTCCAATTTATTTTATCTAATTTAAAAAAATATTTCATCGGTTTTTGTTTTAATGTTCGGTATTTGAAGTGGAGTGGAGATTTTTCGACCAAACTCGGGGAAAAGGTTCTTTGGGACGATAATTCGTTTCGTATCGCAAACGGGCCGGATCCGCCGAAAACTTTTCGAGTTGCGATTTTTTAATTTTTTTAATGTTTTTTAAAGGTTTTGTAGGGCGAGAGAAATTTTCGAAATTGGCCGAACGAAATACACGAATCGACGGGTAAAAGACCAAAGTTTGACATACTAAAAGATGAGCTTTATCGAATAAAAAATAATCGGCCGAAAGCCCGTTTAATTTTTGTTGGGTATTTAAAAAAGTTAACCAATTGACACCCCAAAATCAAATCGATTACAGGGGAATGCAACAAAATATTAGGTAATAATGCGACGTTGCCAAATTTAATTGCGGTGTTGCCAGCTTTTGCATAAATTTCTCAAACAAAAAAAATATAATAATTAATATATAATATAATATAATATAATATAATATAATATAATATAATATAATATAATATAATATAATATAATATAATATAATATAATATAATATAATATAATATAATATAATATAATATAATATATTAATTATTAATTATTAATAAAATTTATTTATCAGGTGGAACTTTGAATTAAAGTCGATTTAATTTTTTTCGAAAATCATATACAGGGGAACCCAACAAAGTATCCAACAACAATTTGACAGGTGTCAAGTGAACAGGTGACATATGTCAAGTGGCAGATGTCAAGTTGTCAGATGACAGGTGGCAGATGATAGATGATAGATAGGACAACTTCAAAGGTATGTATCGACTCGTAATCGAATTTTTTAATTTTTTTTTCCGTTGTCTGTTAGTCTGTATGTCGCTTTTTTTTTAAAACGCCGTAGCTGGGAGGCTGTTGAAGGTGGACACTCGCAATTTTTATCCCTTTTTTGTGCCCACGAGACCTATCGGTTTACCAAATGTTTCCGGTGTCGAAAAGGCCCAAGTCAATTTTTTTCCATTTTTCCGTAAAATTTGGCACGTTTCGTTGAAATCGCTTAACTTTCGAACGAGTGGAGATTTTTCGGCCTAAGTCGGGGAAAAGGTGCTTCGGGATGATAATTCATTTCGTATTGCAAACGGGCCGGATTCATCGGAAACTTTTCGAGTTGATATCTTTTTTAATTTTTTTAGAAAATTTTTGAAAATTTTGTCGGCCCAGAGGAATTTTCGAAATTGTCCATACAAAATACACGAATCGACGGGTAAAGGAACAGATTTTGACAAAATAAAAGATGAATATTATCGAATAAAAACTAATCGGCCAGAAGCCCGTTTAATTTTTGTTGTGTATTTAAAAAAATTAACCAAATAAAATCTCCAAAATCAAATCGATTACAGGGGGATCCAACATAATATTAAGTAATAATGCGGCATTGCCAAATTCAATTGCGGTGTTGCCAGCTTTTGGATAAATTTCTTAAACAAAAAAATATAACTAATAAAATTTATTTATCAGGTGGTTGTTTGAATGAAAGTCGATTTAATTTTTTTCGCAAATCATATACAGGGGAACCCAACAAAGTATCCATCAACACTTTAACAAGTGACATGACAAGTTTCAGATGTCAGGTGACATATGACATGTGACAGATGACTGATGACACATAACAGATGAAAGGTGACAGGTGCCAGATGACAGGTGACAGATGACAAATTTCAGATGACAGATGACTAATGGTAGGTGACAGATGACAGATGACAATTGACAGATGACAGGTGACAGGTGAAATGTGAGAAATTTAAAACCACCCAGTTTAGGTGCGATCCCCACCCGCAGCGAGCACCAAGCTTAGCTTGCTGAGCTTGTTTTTTTTCTTCTAATGGAGCAGACATACGTGATGGTCCATCAAAAACAAAACAGTAAGCATTAATTTAAAAAAATTCTAAAGAAACTTTGAAATAGATTTCACTCGCGCAGTGGTCACAACCCCTATAATTTTAAATGACATTATAGGGCAATTAATAGCTCATTTAAAATTGAATTTATTAATATTATTATTATTATTTTTAGGATTTTTTAATTGAAGCGCACTTTATTTCTTATTCAAATAAAAAGTAAAAATAAGGAATTTTAGAAAAGTGTAGAAAATTGTCGAACCATATAAAAAGCCTTTATCAGTCTTTTAACTACATAAAATATGTTTTATTCAATAAATTGATTACAGCATTGCGGACAGAGATGAAATTACTACCCTTTTTTATATATAACAGTGAGTGCGGAAATCGTGCAGCAGATTTCTTCAATAAACACCATCCGGGTAGGCATGTAAATAAAAAAAATCGTTTTGGAGTTGTTGTAAAAGTTCGGATAAACAGGATCAGTACCAGAACAAAAAAAACAGTTTTTTGGATCTAACGTAAACCTATAGTCAGGAATAAAGCTGTTGAGATAGACGGCACTGATCTAATAAGACCGAAACAAGCTGTCTGTAGGTGGGGTCATTCAAGTTGCCCCCCAATCGTGTAAACCCCCTATTATACATCATAATTTTGCACAATTTTGCACACCCCTTCTAAAATTTTGCACACACCCGCTTTAAAAATGGCTTGTGGGGGGGCAAACTTGACGCTTGCTGCGACAAACTCTACTTTTCGTCATCATAATCTCCTAATTTTGCACAATTTTGTACACCTCATTACAAATTTTGAAAACCCCTCCATCCACCCCCACGGCATCCCAAAAAAATACGCACTTGCCCCCGCCACCGGCAAAAATCCACATTCTTTTTGTGCTATCCTGATCCTCCAAATTTGCACAATTTTGCACACCCCAATTTCTTACCTCACAGCGTCCCAAAAAAATTGTCCCAAGTCATGTCTCGGTAAAGCCAACTTTCTGTATGTAGCGGAGAGCGCTATCTCTCGGTAGGTAACGGAGGGCGCCATCTTTATATTATTATGCGATGGATGTAATATTTTAACTGTGTTTAACGGACTTTAATATAACCTGTTAAATATCTTTGATGAAAGGATGGTTCTTCTTTGTGAAGTGATTTAAAACAACAGGTAAGCACTGTTTAAATACTGAGTTATACTTTATAGGTTATTATGTTTATATGCGTGTTGTATTGTTTATATGCGTGTATAGATGCTGGTGTTGCCGTTTACTATTCGTATTATCTAAACTGCTTAACGTTACGAGCATTGATAAAACATTTTCTTAACCCTACACTGCGAAATGTATTAAATAAGATACAACACTTTTTTAAAGCAAAATATTTACGTTTAACTGAATTATCGTCTAATTGCGCACAACCTTATTTTAACGTCCTATTTAAGGTCTATACTGGCGCTGACATTATATATTATGCTCTAGGGTGTGCTGCATTCAAATAATACGCGGGTTTACAAGTGACAGCGCAATAGTTGCGGTGTAGTGGGTTACATTTGTTATTTTCTTTATGTTTCCGGCAATTTTATTATTAAATTATAGCTAATTATATTATTTATAGTCCGGGAGGCAGGCGTCGATTTTGAGTAGTATTTTTATGTAGCTAGATTCTTAACTGTAGTCATAAATGAACTTTGATAGACAACGAAAGTGAAAGTCAGCTGACGCACCCCCAGCGGGAGTGACTAGAATACCGCGGAACATGTAAAAATGGGTTTAAAAGTATTTTAGACAACCTGATTTATTTGAATTAACGACGTCGGGTTGAATAAAAAAAGTCAGATGCACCACCGAACTTGTAACGAAAATAAAGGAAATAAAATTATTTTAAACCGATTGAAATTTTTTTTATATGACTTTAATAAGCTACATTTATAGTGGGGGAAGACCGTCAGTCAGAGCAAGAATTGCGCTCATGTATCCAAATGGCGCGTGGAATTTTCAACGGTCTGACTGACGACTTTTTTCAGGCAATCAGCTGATTAAAATTTTCATAATTCTTTCAATTAACAGTTGACACTTTGACATTTTTAAGTTTCAACTGTCAAGGCATATAGTCTCCACAACAGACGCATTTTATACCTGCATCCTTCTCCCCGAAATTCGTAAGGGACAGCTGCTTCCAGTTAGGTCATTCTTAAAAAGTGGATGTGAGAAATTTTCCGTAATCAACATGGCATCAGTAAAAGCATTTTGTGTGTTTTGCAATAAAACAAGTGATAAACTAATAATGTTCACTGCTGATATAATGCAGAAGTGTAAGCGCATTTTAGAACTTCGGCAAATTCATAACTTGACAATGAGTGATGCAAAAGTGACGTCCGAATTGAATTATTTTCAACGGTATCATTCGAAGTGCTATAGATCATTTACTGCGTTACCACCGAAATATCGCAAACGTATAGAATCTTTCTCTATTCCTACAGGAGCAATGTGAGTACTTCATATTAATTATTATTATGTTCATATATGTAGTTTATACACATGATAACTTGTCGCCATACAAATAGTTAAATAAAAGGAGAAAGAAAAATAAAGTGAAAGAGAGAGAGAGAGAGAAATGCGCATGTATAGAACACGTAGCCAAATAGCATTGCCTGTCTATTTTATCTTTCCTTCGTAGATATTTTTAATCCAATAATAAGAGACGAGATTAATGGAGATTGTATTTTTTAGTCCGACTGAAGAGGCGCGAACAATTGGATATTCTGTTGAAGCTGAAGCCGTTTATCAATAAGAAGACTCAGCACGTGAAGTTGATATTCAGGAAACCGAAGATCCGGTGAGTGAAGATCAGGCTCCATCGAATATAGAGGTTCTGAAGGTACTGAGAAATCAAGTAAATATATATGAATTTTTTGCATGAAAAAGCGCAAAAAGCACAATGGTCGTGATCAAAAGCTGCATACATGTCTTGCCAAGGACACTCTCAACAATTTCGTATGTATTGCCAATGAGATGGGTGACGAGCAGCTTGTCAAGAGAATCACCGAATCGAGAAATGAAGTGATCCTGTACCATAAAATATGTAGATTACAATTCACCAATGCACAGCAGTCACAAAAGACATCGAACGCAGAGAAGACTGAATGGCATCTAACTCGAGATATATACAAATTAGCCTTTGAAGAAGTGTGCAGCTTTGTTTCAAAAAACATTATAAAAAATCATGACTTCTTAAACTCACTCTTTGCCGGTTGCGTCGCTAATCATGATCCTAGTAAATCATCACACGTAGAGCCATATAATTTTGAGAGCAAATTATTGAATACATTCCCCAAAAAAATAAACGTAGTCACAATGAATGGGAAATACGGGCACTGTTGCAGCTATAGAGTCTTGGAGGAATTGGAAACAGAAGCAACATTTGCCGCTGCTCGTCGTTCGGTACTTTGCCCTGAAGATATAATTCCATCGAAAAATTTGTGCACGGGATTGGCATTTGATAACTTTGATCGCTTTATGGACACGGCAACAGGAAATGATACATTGCATGATACCGTGGGAATAATATTTCAAAATATCGTCAATTCTCCAGCGAGTCCTAGACTTATTGCAGAAAATGAACCATCAACAAGAAAAGACTTCGAACTCTTGATGAGATTACATTTGAGCTGCAGTCTTATAACAAAAGACCAAAAATACGTGCAAAGTCCATTACGATTAACTAATAATAATATTAAAGAATTTCAATTCCTCGATCTAGCTTGGTCGGCATCTCATTATCTAAAACTACCCAATATGCCTAACTGGGTTATAAATAATAGTATGATTTATCGAGACAACAGCGTCAAGCTCAAAAGATATCTGAAGAATGTATTGAAGATTATATAGAAGTCACTTACGATTTAGCAATTGCGAAAATTGCTCTTCAATTGCATAGCACCGAGAAACCACAATTCGATGATTTGTTCATTCACTTTGGATCATTCCATATCATGATGGCATACTTTAAAGCAGTTGGGAAATTTATTGATAGTTGTTGAATAACTAACATCATGGAAAATACCAGTGGATCAATAAGTAGTTTCATAACAGGCAAACATTTCAACCGCTGAAAACGTCTTCATCCTCTTTTATATTTAGCCCATAAAATGCTACATTTTGAGAGTTTTATTGAAGAATGTAATATTCAAGTACCTAATGAAATCAAAAATTATTTATTACAATTTATTAGTGAAAGATCCATTAATCCAGCAATAGCAAACGATGAATTAATCGGTCTCTTCGAAAAGTATGAAGAGTATAAACAACAAACGTTAAACGGTAAGCATGGAAAAACGCCACAATTTTATATTATATATATGAATTTGATAAAGCATTACATCATTACTTCATGCTGTGTTGAAGTATACGCACGGGGAACATCGAACTTTTCAAATTTATTTTCCGAAAAATAACAAATTTATTTTAATCACATTTAACCACCCTAACTATTCACGTTTTGCAGTAATGTAAAATGACAGAGTACATGAAACTTGAACTAACAATCAATGCAGATGCTGCAAACAAATTAACAGGAATCAGTCATACAATTAATTCGATAAAGGCTCGTCAACGCTGGTGCGAAAGTCATAGTATTCGCTCAGAAATAATTGCACATATCATGAAGGAAACAGGATTACGACCTGATCAAAACATTACAGCAGATCTGGAACAAAGCAGAATAAAAAACATTTTTTACAGCTTCATAACTTTATTACTCATATTAAGCAGTACATGAACCCATTCTCAAAAGATGTAGACAAAAAATCATTATATAATATTTCAACAGGACAAGCAGTTACACCAGATATTGAACTTTTTTGCTGAATATAAATACACTTGGTAATGAACAGCGTGAGTTCATCAGTGAATGTTTTGAAGATGAAAAAAGATTTGAAAATGTCATAAAGAGAAATAAATTTCTGAATTTCGCGACTGCTGTACCGAAACATAAGATATCTGTTGCTGGAAAATTGTTATCAGTACAAATGCAACGTGATTTGCTTGGCCAATTATTCTCGAATTCCTTAGAACAAACACTAAATATCGATAAAGTTTTAGCTTATCCTTTAACACCAGTCCCACTAGCTTTATGCCACATCGATGGAACAATTTGCAAAACAGACAAATCGGTATTATTAAAAATGCTTCAAAAGGAAATCGACAGCGAACCTCCAGAATGATGTGATGTAATTATTTATGACGGTTTTTTTATTATGTACTCAATAAGAGACGTGCCATCTTCGTTTGGAAATGTATCCCAGAAGCTGATGCAAGTATTCACTGCGATTGGTGCGAACACTGTGATAATTGCCTTAGAACGGTACATATTTCCATCCATAAAAGACAACGAACACTCATTGAGGGGCATATTTTGAAAACATGTTTTTTATGTAAAATTTGACGCAGAATACGATAAAAATACTAAAAACTTAATACGAGGTGGGGGCCATTGTTAAAAATTGATTTAAACAATGAAATTGTTAATAACAATATGAAATTGTTAATAATATTTATTAAAAATATTTTGTTATCAAAATTCAGTCCTTTAGCTTTAAAATGAAAAAAAAAGATGTTTGTAGCTCAAATAGAACCGGAGTTATAAATTTTTGAAAATGGGTCTCCAAGCCAAAAAGCTTGTTTTTCTCAAATTTTTGATCACTTGTATTATCGAAAATATGCGAAAGAAAAAAAATTCCTCGGACACGTGTCTCTTACTTTTCGACATAGAATCCGTAAAAAAAGTTTCAGCCAAATCTGAGATGTGTCGGTCAAAAGGTGTTCGGTTTGTAAAAGAATTACCCATATGTGTGTCAACAGTCATAAAAAAAATTTCAATCGTTATAAAATAATTTTACTTCTTTCATTTTTGTTAGACGTTCACACGCCCCTACGGTGCAGCTGACTATTTTGTTTCTATGCTAATTGACATCAGTAACACATAAAAAAACAAAATGGAAACAAATTGAAAAAGCTCTTTTGTTACATAAATAAAGCATTGTAAGGGATTGCACTATTTTCCACACCTCAAAGTCCTAACACGTGACTAGGTACGGAACGCAGTCTTTTGAAAATTTGGCGTTTAAGGCTTTTCAGGTTATGTATCTGTCAAAGTATAGTCAACGAAAGAAATAATATTTATACTTTTACTGCTTATGTTTAAGCGTTAAAGATTTATGAATCTTTATAGTATCACAATATTAATGTTTGGTTTAAAAATTTTGGAATATAAATACTGCATTTAATTAAATTCTAAAGTGTATGGTGCCAAAAAAGTAATATTTTTGTGCATTTGGTCTACATATCTGGTATTCTCCATAAAATAGTTTTAATTAAACGGCATTTATTAAAAAAAAATCTAGCTTCTCTATTATAGAATAAGACTATCTGTATCAAAGGTAGGTTAATATATTATAACAAAATATATCTAATTTTGTAATTTTAAAACCAAAATTTGTTTTTACACCTATGTTTTTGGAAATTCAGAAGCTAAACTTCTTAAAGTTCCTTACACTGTCAGCTAATATACACCCATCCTGTCAATACAAGTATCTATAAAAGCTTCGACAGAATTTGATCTACATCGAACAATCATAACCTAAGGTTATTAACCTAGCTTATAACTTTTAAAATTTAAATAAATCCCACAGTATAATATCTAGTATATTAACTTTACAATTTCTTCTAAAAAATGGTGGTAGTTTTTCTAATCCAGCTTAAAGTATATGTACTACATACGTTTTGACAATACAAGTAGATATAAAACTTCCACTGAATTTGATTTACATCGACTATTCCACTCATTACTTTTTGGACCAATCAGATTTCAGAAAACGAGTGGTTTTTTTCAGTTTTGCAGCGATAAAACTACTATTCAGATGAAAAAACCACTCGTTTATACGAGTTGCATAACAACCAATTGGTTGTTATGATAAAAATAATTGTCACTGTTGACGTTTTTAATTTTAAAATTAAAATGTTAAAAAATATGCGTTTTGGTCCAAAAAATCATACAGAAATTGAATCAGCAGTTAAAAATATTCGTGAAATAGTCTTGCCGAATACCACTCGTGATAAAATTTTCCCTGAAAAAATTTTTGATTTTTATTTACTCAAGATTTTTCCTTGGAAATTTCGCTCGTGGCATTAACTTCAAACCACTCGCCTAGCGGCTCGTGGTCTTAAAAATTAATGCCACTTGCGAAATTTCCAAGAAAAAAACATTCGTATAAAAATCAAAAATTTTATCGGTAAAATTTTACCACTAGTGGTATTATATACGAAAAAATCATTACAACTTTTAAAATTTTAATAAATCACATGTAATGGTTTCTCTAAAAATTGTTTGTTTTCCTATAATCTAACTTAAAGTAAGTACGCCAAGAGGTATGCAGAAGTTTTGTCGTTGGAAGTATAAAAGCTTCAATTTAATTTGAACCATATTCAACAATTAATTAGGATACCTATATTTATATGACCATAACACACTCTTCCAAATAATCCAAAATACTTATTTATTTTGGTAACCTTAAAATTACAAAATTAGATTATATTTTTTGTTATAATATATTAACCTACCTTTCATACAGATATTCTTATTCCATAATAGAGAAGTTTGGTTAAAACTATTTTATGGAGACCAAATGCACAAAAATATTACTTATTTGGCACCATAAACTTTAGAATTTCATTAAATGCAGTATTTATATTCCTAAATTCTTAAGCCAACCATTGTTATTGTGATATTATAAAGATTTATAAATTTTTAACGCTTTTAAAAACATAAGCGGTAAAAGTATAAATATTATTTCTTTCGCTGTGACTAGAGGCACGCTAACGTGCTGCGATTCGAAATGTTAAAGGCACGTTAGTTACCTCATAATAATAATCCGTTTTTGTTCCCCGAGCGTTTTCAAATTGATGTCAAGCTAGATAGCTCAGATAGTAGGGCGGTCGCTTAGCATGCGAGAGGTACCGGGTTCGATACTCAAAAGTTGTCGAACTTTTTTTATTTTTTTATTTCATAAATTTGTTGTTTCTTTCTTAAAAAGTGTTGGGTTGGGTTGGGTTGGTTGGTTTGTTTTAGTTTTATCGTAACATAAAAGCTACTAGAAGTTATCGAACTTTTTTTATTTCATAAATTTGTTGTTCCTTTGTTAAAAAGTGTTGGGTTGGGTTGGGATGGGTTCAGTTGGTTGGTTTGGTTGGGTTGTTTTAGTTTTGTCGTAACATAAAATCTTAAAATTATGACGTAACTAACGTGCCTTTAACATTTCAAATCGCAACACGTTAGCGTGCCTCTAGTCACAGCGTATTTCTTTCGTTGACTATACTTTGACAGATACATAACCTGAAAAGCCTTAAATGACAAATTATCAAAAGACTGCGTTCCCTACGTAGTCACGTGGTGGGACTTTGAGGTGTGGAGCATAGTACAATACTTGCGCATGAATCAAGGAAATCGAACCAACGACATTATATAGTATTTCAGCAGCGGCATTGGAATCGTCTTTTGTAAAATAAATTAGATCCACAGTTACGAGCCCTGCAGCTACCTTGTTCAATTATTTTCAAAAGAAACAACATTTATGCTAGTGGCTTTAAGAATTATGCAACAATGGAAGCAAACTGTAAATATTGTGGTGCAGATTTCTTGTGCATAATAAAGGACCTTTCTGAGGAAGACCATAATATCAAAATAGATGTGTTCATGAAAAAGGAGTGTTTGATCCCGCACAAACATGACATGGTTAGGCCTATAAGTGGCACATTTAGGCAGCAAATTAGTCAAAAATTGGTTGAACCAAACATTGCTTCCAGTCAATATCGTAGAGTCATGGCTGTCAAAAGTAAAATTGATATTACTGTGCCAAAATTGAGTGCCCTAAGGCAAGCCAAATATGAACTTGTGAAAAAACAGCGTTTATATAATGATCCTATTATGGAAAATGGTTGAATCGAATTACGCAGGTGCCATTCAAAATATTGGCCTGGATCCGTTTTTTGTTTATTTTTGGGATAATACACGAATTCACGCATACAATAAATTTTGCGAATCTGAATAATATAAAATCTGTGTAGATGCCACAGGCGGAGTGGTAAATAAGATAAAAAACCACATAACGAAAAAAGCCCTCATATATTTCTATATGACATAACTGTTCGAAGCACAAGCGCAAAAAATGATTCTCAGTATTCTGTAGCAAGTATGTTGTCGAAAAGTCTAAATGCTGTATCTATTAATTCCTGGCTAGCTCACTGGATTTGTGCTGTGGCTACAAAACCACAGGAGGTAGTAACTGACATGTCACTTGCCCTGATATATGCCTGCATTCTTGCCTTTACAGGTTTTAAAACCTTAAATGATTATTTATCTCATTGTTCCGAGCCATATTCAATAATAGACCATTTACCAAACAGTGCTATCCACAAATAGGCGTTGCCCACTTTGTAAAATTGGCCACCTCCTGGCCAAGCCTTCATAAGTTAACTAGAGAATTTTACCTCAGATCCATTGGACAACTTATTTAATGTTCTAACGCAATTTTTACAGTCTCATTTAGCGATACCGAAGGGCAAAACAAATTCGGCGAGGACACTCTGTGTGAAGTGCGAAAGAAATGATCAAAGAGAATTCGTTTGAGCAATGGGCCAGACGAATTTCGGACGAATACAAAGAGGTTATCAATTCTGATGAACAAGTTGTTGACAGAGGAGATCAACAGTGCCTGCCCCGATTTGCAGAAGATTTGCTCAAATATTGCCGATCTTTGCCCTTATGTTCAGGCATTCAAACTACTTTCTTTTTCAATTCTCCTAAAATTGGAAGCAGCGCTTCTGTTAAAAGTAATTTTAACAACACGAAGCATCGTGTTTTCGGTAATAAAGACATAAAGACAATAAAGGTAGATGAGTTCTTGAGGACACTCATCCTTTCTAACCATGGGCAAGCAAAATTGGTAATGAGAAGAATTGACAATGAACAAACACATTTAACCAATAAAGTTAATTTTTCAAGATTAGTCAACATTGTTTTCTGTAATTCTAATTAAAATTTCAAGAGGAACGCCGAAAAGCTTCTTGAATTGGGTACAACTGATCATCTTGAGGGTAGGTTGCTATTTTTTTTTCAATAAATCTAATTAGGGCGGCAGTCTCGTTAATATCTACATATACTAAATAATGTAAATTCAGACAATTTTCACAGTTTTGTTTTAAATCATCACATTGTGTGAGGTTGTAACGTTATTGCGTGTGAGAAAAGAATCGGAATTCGGTTGCCTTTTGAAAAAGTGATAAAACTAGCAATATTGATTATTTTAGCTTTTTGACACATTTTACCGAGTCGGTCCCCCTAATAGAACAGATATATTATAATATTAAAGTTTCTAGGTAAGGTTGAAATATTGTGCCCTTCCTGTCAGTTACATCAGAAGGGGTATGCATTCTGTATTAATTGTAAGGAAGAAATCCATTATGCTGTACGAAAACTGACAGACAAATCTTTTGTGTAAGATGTTCGAACCTGGAACAAGCTTCAGTAAAAACTGGCAAGGTCTAACTAATCTCAAACGTCCTAGAACTTATTATCTGAATCCTCACTCCGAACCTTTATAAGCGGAGTACTCCAGCTTAAGAAATGTAGTTTCTGTTTTTTTGCTGAAAATGGCCACACCTGTGCTTTTGATTCATTACTTTAAGTAATGGTTTGCTGCTTCTGTGATAGTTTTCCTTTTAAGGATCTAGTACAAAATATGGCAGCCCATAGTAAAAATGCCAAATTAATAGTGTACATAGTAAAAAAATAAATCAATAAAAAGACATAAAATGCGGACTTTTATACTTCATGGACTATTCTCGAAAACCCATCTCTGTGGAATATTTAAATTAAATGTGGAAACAGATATAGGAAATCTCATACCGCAGCTAGATTTGAATGCATGCTTGCTGAAGAAACTCTGTGTTCGCCGACGGTGGACTAGTGGTTATTGCTGCTGACTACAAGCCGGAGGTCATGGGTTCGAATCCCACCAGGGGTATGGCTGTTTATTTGTGTTTGTCCTATTGTGTAATAGTCCTTCGGAGGGGACTTTAAGCCCGCGGCCCTTTCCTACCCCTAACCCGCACAAGCCATTCAGTTGGCTTATGGTACTTCTTAAGAACTAAGGGTGGAATCAAAAGAGCACTTTTGTATATAAACTTTTTGTAACTCTGTGTTCAAATTGTGGATTAATAAACAATATCATCTACAAATCTACTTTGAAAGTTGTTATAGAATTCGCACAGGAACTTGTGAAGATTTTCAGAATTTGAAAACTAAAATTAGTTTAACAAACCGTCTGATCGAACCTTTAAATCCCAATAAAAAAAGTTTTTACTTTGAATTACAGAAATTAACAGTGTGCAACGAGACGTAAGTATTGCGAGGATTGATTAGTTATATAGTACCTCACGTAGGAGTAGGTTATTTTACAGGTTACAGTTTGCGACATAATAATCGTTGGGAAATCTATGACGACACCAAATCTAAAAACGTCCTGTTCTGGTAAGCGAAGGGTGAATTTTGTTTTATACGTCCCAATATTATTAGTTGAATACTTGTTTTGTTTTCTCATTTTATTTTTTTGTATTTCTCTGTTTGTATTGTACTAGTATTTTGATATAAAAACATAAAAGCTTGGCCTTAGAATACTTTACTTTCTTTTAATTATATATATATATATGGTTCCCAAATTTGTGCAAATTTAGATGACAATGTATAACAGAATTTTGGCAGTGGCGAGGAGAGAGCTGGATAAAGTTTTCGAAAACACAGTGGACGAGGACGTTAATGTGGGGGGTAGGCTAGGTTTGAAAAAGGTGTAAAATTTGAAATGAGGTGTCCAAAATTGGAGGATCAGGATAGCATAAAAACAAAGTGGATTTTGTCAGTGGGGGGGCTAGTAAGTAATTTTTTTGAATGTCGTGGGGATAGATGGAGGGGTGTGCAAAATTGTTCAAAATTAGAGGATCAGGATAGCACAAAAAAGTGAATTTCTTCAGTGGGGGGAGCTAGGAAGAAATTTTTGGGACACCGTGAGGGGTATGCAAAATTAGAAATGAGGTGTGCAAAATTAAAAGATTATGATGACGAAAAGAAGACTTTGTCGAAGTTAAGGGGGGGGAAGCGTCTAGTTTGCCCCCCCCCACATATTTTTTCTTGCCTTTTCCAAAGTGGATGTGTGCAAAATTTAAAACGGGGTGTGCAAAATGTGTGCAAAATTATGATGTATAATAGAGGGGGTTTGCACGATTGGGGGGCAACTTGACTGACCCCTGTAGGTGCCTATTTGTGTATCACGCTTGAAGCAAAAGCACATTGGCGAGGTAATTGGCCAGTTCTCATATGCACTTTTATTTATAATAAATGTAATAATTGTCTGGAAATAATTAATTAAAGTAATATGTATGGATAAACAAAACACAAATATTATCTATAGATATTTATATATTTTCAAAAACAAAAATAAATATAATTAACAAAAATTAAATTATACATACAATAGTCCACTAGAACCTTTACCAGTACTTTTTTAAATAATTTTAATAAAATTTATCACAATTTTATTATATTATTAACTCCTCTAACGTATTTAATAAATATAAATATTATGAAGGAACTTATGTTGAAAGCTAATCAAAAATAATTTAACCGGAATTTAAAATGTTATTTTTATTTATTATTTAACTTATTAAAAACCCTTACATCCTCCTTATCTTCCTCCGTCATATCTTTATCCCCCCATCCCCATATAATATCCTCATGCTCATGACCATGCGTATCAATATCTTCATTAACTTTAATTGTCCCATCTCCAGTCCTCCTAATCCTTTTTTTTATTATATCAAGGGAAGCAGTTTTTAAGTCGTAAGCCCATCCAATTTTAGCCATAAGATCTATAAAACATGTAGACCAGTTAAGTCTGTAATTTCCTAGTTCTGCCGCTTTATAATCCCAAGGAAAAACGTGATGATAATTGTGCCAACCCTCTCCAAAAGCCATAAATGCTACAAAGTAGTTTTCAGTTGGTTTTATGTTCCTAAAATAAGTTAAAATTATTTAACTTTAAATTGTTTTTGAATCGGTTTAGTAAAAGTAAATTGACAATATAAAATTATAAATATTTAAAATGCAATATAATTACTTACTTATCATAAGGTTTCATCCCCCAAATGTGAGCGGCACTGTTTACCAACCATGTTCCATTTAATGAAACTGTATAACGTAAAATGCCTGCAGTGTGCCATGAATTCCACCATGTTTCACCCCAGAAATACCATGGTACGGCTGCTGGTATCACAAAACAGGCAATGGGCATCAAAATTAGGTAATACCTAAAATAATATTACATATTTAAATTAAAGCATTCTTCAAAATTGCATCCTAAATTTATGGTTTTTGACCAGTTACAATATGTTAAAGTTAAAAAAAATTGTTTATTTTTTTTAATAATTTGCAAAATTTTTTTATGTTTGTTAAATTTAACATGTATGAAAGTGACCCTTCCTTATGTGGCAGGCGTCAGGAGTTAAACAGGACAGTGCTCAACAAGGTCAAGTTCTAATTTCCCCAAAATCTTTTTAGCTCAGGAATTCAAAATTGCAATCACAAATGAGTACGAGTACCACACACTTTACTAGTTCAAAAATGCTCTCGTTGTATAATATTGTTAAATGTTTTGTAGGTCCCGATATCAGTATAGTTATCTGCTATTAAAAGAATTTAATTATAAATATTAAATAATTTAGTTTAAAATTATTTAAATCAATCTCTTTTTAGTCAAAAAAATAAAATGGTATTCCATATTTGGTCACTCTTCTCTAACCTTAATAAAAAATAACTGTATAACAGCGCTAAAAATAATATTTTATAACCTTTTTTTAGTAGGTGTTATATAGATTCATAGTATATGGAAACTATAATTTTACATTTTTTAAGTTATCGTTTATTATTTTTGGTATAAAAAATACATATGTATTGATCTTAAGTTTTTATCTTACAATGTCCCCGCATTTCGCCTCAGGCGCCTGGCTGAAAATAGTAATTATTTTTCAGAATCTACCAGGGAAGGCATATAGGTACCAATAACGATAAAATATAACTTTTAAATTGTGGATACCATGCTGAGATTTAAATCCAAAAAAGTTATCGCAAAAAGCCAATTTGATAGGAGTAATATTTATTTTCTTATTCTCTTTTTAATCTTTAAAATATTTTAAGAAAGCTAATTAAGAAACAAATTTTAAGCATAACAAATTAAAATACTCGTTTATAAAACGAATAATGAAGAAGATTTTTATATTCTCATTTTTATACCACTTTTAATTTCTGTCGTCCAAAATCTAGGTTATTGGGTTTTGAAGGTTTAAGAAATCAATCGCGGTCAATTCTCACCAAAAATTTCTTAAAAAGACACACTTATGAATATTTGTACCTATTGACCTTAATTAGGAAATCAATTTTAGTACCAGTATTTTTATACTGCATATTATTGGAATAAATTAACTTTTTAAATAATTTTACTTTGTTTTATGCCTACTAATAAACATTGGTGAAAGGAACTATAAATTATAAAATATGGCTATAGTTTTAATTTACTTAAAATAAACTAAAAATAAATAAATTATTATACTTTTTTTGAAACATAACGACTGGGTCTGCCTCTAAATCGCTTAAGTCGACAGTTTTTCCTTTTGTAGAAACATCCTTATGTTTTTTTAACATTAACCAGCCCATGTGGGAGAAAAAGAATCCTCTTTTGGCGTTATGTGGATCAGCGTCTGAGTCTGTAAACTTGTGATGCACCCTGTGGTCTCTAACCCATTCGTATAAGTGATTTTGAAAAGCCATGGTTTGCAGAAAACAAAGAAATATTCGTAAAGGTAGACGGGCTTTATAAGCTCTGTGAGCCCATAATCTATGTGCTCCGGAAGTAATTCCCTGTCCAGCGAGAAATAATACAGCTAAAACTAAAATAATTTTATTTAAGTAATGCATTAATATTTTAATTTTTTTCTCACCCCAATATATTGTTTTAGTTTTACACGCTGCAAACAACAAGTATAACCCATAAATGGCAAATGAATGCAAATAAATGAATGCAATAACATTTCTCCAGACTATTTGCCATTCATACTGAGGCTGGCTAGGTTTATTATATATTATTTTAGGTTTAGGTGGGTCCACAGGTCTTACTCGGTATTCTACTGGTTTGCTAATAATTTGAACGGGATCCGCTGAGTTTGAAAGCATCATGTCTGTTAAATTTGGTGCCATATTACTAAAATTATATTAATACAAATTTCAGCTATGCAATAAGTAATTCAACAAATCAGTTTCATGGGTTAAACGGTTAAAAGGCAATAAATATAAAAGTTTTAAGTTGAAAACAACCTATAGGATATTTTTTCTGCAGACCAAGAAAGGAGGCTACAATTCTGTGAAATAATAGGACACAAAAATGACCACGATGAGAATTTTATTGGATATATTATTTTTTCGGTTGTCTTTTTTTGGTCGTGGAAAAATTAGCATCTGTCCCTGCCTGTAAGGACCCAGTACCCCAAAAACTAAACGTTTAAGCTGGCATTTTTTAAAATTCAATTATTGACCCTCTTTATTGATGGAAATTTAAATGCAGATAAATACTTTAATATGTTGGAAAATGAAATTGTTCCTGCCATTCGTGATGTGTCCAAACCAAGAATATTTAGTATTAACAGAATGGTTGTCCAGCGCATAATGCAGGGCAAGTTAGGACTTTCTTAATGCTATTCTCTCGAATAGATTATTAACACCAACACGGACGATTTCTTGGCTCCCTAGATTCCTTAATTTAGCACCCTGCTATGTTTTTACATAAACATGATAGGGCACTCATTTTAAATGAATTGCGTGCAAAAATTGTTAATGCGGTAGAAATTATACCCCTGAAATGATAGGCAATGTACAAAAAAATATACATTTGAATAGGCCATTGAGAAATTCAAACATTTACGATATTAATTGTTAAAATTATATATATTTTATTTTTTAAATATTTGTTATTTTACATATTTTATTTTTGTTTTCGTTGTTTAACTAAACTATTGTTTTTTAAATTTATTCTATAAAAACATTATATTTTATTTCTATTTTAGTTTTTTAGATAAAATATTGCTTTTATATTTATTTTATAATAGTTTAAATAAACTGTTTTAATATACACTTTTATCTAATTATTTTAAGTTAGTACATACTTAAAATTTAAAAATACAATAAACAAGAATTTTGTAAGTTAAATTAAAAAAGAAAGTTTATTACAGTCTAAAAATAATACAGGTAAATAAGATCTAGTAATCACATCCGTTGTTTTGGCAAACAATGCGTCGGTAACCCTGCCTACGGAATTTTACACTATCTTTTTACTTGTAGTTTGTACTCTCTTACACTTGGGCTATGGATAATAAGTACCATAGTTGGGCATTAAATTCGTTTTTATACTACAAGCAGTGGCATCACTATAGTGAAGTATACGGGGGTGATTATATTTATTATAGAAAAAAAAGTTACGCCAATGATCTAAATAATAAATGTCTACATTTTTAAAATAAGCAGTCTATTTATGAAAATAGTCCACTTAAGGTTAACACTAAAAAATATTTAACAACAGAAAAAACAATTAAAAATAAAACTACAAAAATTATTTTAAAACAGAAACCTAAATTTAAATCATCATGTTTACTACAAACTTAACAAAAAACTAATGGCATATGACAAAATTTAATTACAGTGAATTGTAGTTGCAAGTTTACTATACATTTTACAGAAAAACTTCTAAAAAACTTTATTTTCGCGAATCGACTGATTATTTTAAAAATGTGGAATTTGTTGTTTTAGATGATTGGCTTACCTTTTTTACCACTAAAAAAGATTATCACTCCCTAGTAACGCCACTGCTTGTAGTATGAAAACGAGTTTAATGCCTAAATATGGTATCCAACAAAAAACAACAAAACACCTGTTGGGTGTTTCGTAAACACATATGTTTATTGTCCGAACTGTAAACTTTCGTTCAATTTTAATGCATTCAAAAACACTTGTTATCGTTAACAACTTAAAACCAATAAACATTTTAGTTTAACTTACGCATAATAATCGAATTATATACAGTGCTTGCAAATCCAAGTCCGACCGCGCTGGAAAGGACGGCTGTTCAATACCCGCGTGAAAAGAACAAGGATAGAACGCCAAATAGAATTTGATTGGCCAGAGCCGGCAGGCTACGACAACGCACCTCGCAGCGTGCTTGACACGAGGATATCAGAACGAGAACTGCAGTGGTGCCAGCAAGAGGTAGTAATTTTAGTAAAAAAGATTATTTAATTAAAAAATGTACACGTTGGAACAAAAAGTTCAGATTTTAATCTGGCATTTTGCTGGTAATTCTGAACGAGAAATTCAAAGATTATTTGCGGGAATGTTCGAGGCCAGACCAAACAGAGAAACAATTCGACGAACCGTTAATAATTTTCTCACGCACGGTTGTGTAGTTCCGATGCAGCTCCGACGGGAACGTCCTCCACGGGAAAATCTAAATAGAGAAGCGCGGGATACTTTAATGTGCGCGTCAATTAAAGAAAACCCAACCCAGGCATTAAGTACGGTGGCTAGGGAGTTTGATATTTCAGCTTCCACGGCACGAAATGTGCTAAGACGCCATGGATATCGTCCATTTAAGCTGCGACGGGGAAACGAGCAATTCCCTGCCGATGCATTCCGCCGCATGGAATTTTGCGAGGTTGTTATGGAGAGAGCAAATGCCGACCCAAATTTTATCGGTAATATTTTATTTACTGACGGGTTGACATTTACTCTCCATGGCAGGCACAATTCGCAGAATGTTCGACTGTGGGCGCGAGAAAATCCTCGTAGGATTTTTGCAGCTCGGACTAGTGATGGGTCGTGATTTTGGTAACGTGATTTTGGAACTTTATTTTTAAATCACGTTCCGGAACGTTCCTAAATATATCGGAACTATGTGACAGCGGAACGAACTAAATAGAAACAGAGAATCCGACCATCGAATGAGTGAACGGAGCGAGTGGGAAGGGAACGACGTGAAACATGGAACAGAACGAACGTCGCTAATGTCGGAACTGTTTAACGGCGCAGTTACCCCGTTTCGAAACGTTTCTTGTTCGAGTTTCGCGGCGCCGATTTCTGCTGAACTTTATCGGTGCATATAACCAATATAACGAGGCGGGTGGAATCGTTCCCCTGAAACGGTGCATAAAAAATTAAGTTTTTTAGGTAGGGTAGATGGAATATAGGATGCGGTATTGTATACAGATAATTGCATTTTTTATGGAGTTAAAACATGACTTAAAACAATAAAAGGTATAATATAAGCATTCTATTATTGTAAATATACCCAACATGAGTTATTTTTATTATATATATATATATATATATATATGGGTTTGTAAACTTTGTATTTTATATTTTTGGTATATTGATTATAAACGCATGGTATTTTTTAAACATTCTTTAATATTTCAAAAATAAAATGTAAATAGGTTTAAATACAAACAAACAACTTCTCCTAAATAAAATAAACCAAAATATCGATTTTTAGAAACATAAATAAAGGTAAAATAAAAATTAAATTAAAATAAATACAAGTATATCGATGATTTTTTGCAAATGGATCGCAGGCGACATAACTCAAATTTCGAGAATTAAAAACTTTATTGTTTAAAAGTCTGTTTTAAACTATATATTTCTTTTAAAAATCCATGATAATCAAAAATCAAAAATACCTACACTTACCAATAATTTAGGATTATTATTAATTTTTTCTTAATTTCTTAATGTATATGATGACGAAGCAAACTAGATGAGAAAATAGGAAAAATAATGTATCCGACACCAAGCGCGCGAATTTGTCAATTTAAATTTCAACTTAACAGGGAACCATCAAAAGTTTTGTGGTTAGTTTTGATTCAAAACAAAACCAATTGTGGTTAGTTTTGATTCAAAACTAACCACAATTGTGTTAAAATCGAAACCTAATGTACCTAATATTGTACAATTATTAAACTATAATACCAAAAGTGACTAAAAAGGTTTTTTCTTAATAGAGAATCTTTATTAGAGATAGACAAAGCATTCAAGGAATCAACAGGTTTTTGTGTATTAAAGGGGTCCCTAGACGTTCAAAAAATATTTTTGCTTAATATTACTGCACAAAAAATTAATTATTGTCTCTATAGAGACAATATATATAAATAAATTAAGCAATATTGTCAACACACTGTTAACTATATTGCTTAATACAACATATTGTGCAATAATGATATTGAGTGTAGGGACCTCCTTAACCTTTATAGTGTATAGCAAAAGTAACAAACAGTAGCAGCGGTAGAATAATATTGAATTGTCTTTATTCAATAGCAAGAAAAATAAATACAAGTTACAATATTTAATTTTTGTATTAAAGAGGAGCGCCAGACAAAATGCAGTCGAGTGAACGCCGCTGCCGGGACGTTTCTCCCAGCAACGCGTTGCAACGTCGTGTCGTACTCGCATGTATTGTAAAATCATTTACCCTACGTTCCGAAATTACGTGATTTTGGTACGTGATTTTTTAGGAACGGAACGGTCTGGTACGTTCCGGATTGGGAACCGTTTTTTCCATCACTAGCTCGGACACAGTATCCCCAAAAACTTATTGTCTGGGCGGGTATTTTGGGCGACCGAATAATTGGCCAATTTTTTATAAATGGGAATTTAAATGGCGCTAGGTATTTAAATCTCTTAAAAGACCAAATAAATAGTTCCCGCGCTTCAAAATTTAGACGGAGTTAACATCGAAAACGTATGGTTTCAGCAGGACGGTTGCCCCGCACATAATACGATGGCTGTTCGGGAATTCCTTTCCGACACTTTTGGACCTCGTCTTATTATGGGTCGATGAGGAATTCTCTGGCCAGCTAGATCACCGAACTTGGCGCCGTGTGATTTTTTTTGTGGGGGTACCTCAAGTCGAAGCTGTACGTTTTCCAGGAAGATCGGGCTAATAACCTCAATGATTTAGGAATCCGCATAACTAATTTGTTGCAGGATATTGGTCCAGAAGTCCTAGCTAATGTGCATGGGAATTTTTATAATAGGTTAGGCTATTGTTTGGCTGCCTATAGGGGCTTTTTCGAACATTTAATTTAATTTTTGAGTTTATTTATTTGTATTATTTATTTTTAGAGTTTTATTTTTATTTAGAGTTTTATTTTTATTTATAGT